CAGGAAAAAAAACACATTAAATATATAAAACAGAAATAAAATAATGAAAAGGAAACAGTTTTCACTATAGTTTACCTTGACCATTAAGGCATTAATATTAAACATTTTTTTAAAAATATTTGTTTATTTAAAAATATGTTATATTTCTACAAATATATATAGCAAACAGATGTGCTTTCAATTTTCTACTCTAAAAAAACTTTTTGGGATAGTTCAACATTTCCAAAAGGAGGACACAGCTGGAATAATTACAGTCTAAGCCCTGGCTTGTCAGCTAAGAGAAAATAAAAATCAGACAAAAAATCCATTTTAAAGCAGGAAATTTTAATCAAAATTCAAAGTGGAGTTTTTGAAGTGTTTTCTTGGCTTCATCTTTGGCATAAGTATAAAATGTACTAATGTACAATTACAAAGATGGAAAATTTTAGGAAGCAGTAGATGAGTTTCTCCCTGACAAAGGTTTAAAAAGGTAAAAGAGAAGTGAGTTGCTTTTCATCTACTCCCATTCTCTTTGAATCTGTTTAACTGCCCTCATTTCAAAAAGAATGAAAGCAGTCAAATTCTGGCTCCTTGTGTTCAAATAGCTACCTGTTTCTATCTCTTATGTAGACTAAAGCTTTAAATATTGTCATCTCCACACTTAAATTTAATTCCCAGGCTTGAACTGACACCATATTGCTTTGTTTCCATAGAACAGCCATTTAAATAGAGCATCATGTTATATATTTATCTTGTTTGCTATTATGCCAAAACAAAGAAACTTTTGGAATAAAGCAGGCATGTCAAACTCGCAATGTCATGTGACGTCGCGGGACATATCGGGACTTTTCCCCCGGCAATGGGGTGGGCGCGGTTTCGGTGTGACGCATCTGGCCCGCAGGCCAGCAGTTTGACATGCCTAGAATAGAGAGACTATGTTGATAAACACTCACGAAATGGTGGACAAGGCAAATTTATCTAGTCACAAAATGGCTGATCATATAGCCAAATTGCTACACTTGAGCATTAAAATTTACCAGATGCCATCTATCATCCCAGTTGGGTTTTTGTGAGCGCCTAAACATTCTTGTATCTATATATAATACTAAAAGCTGGTGAGCTGCTTTGCAGAATGTCATCTTTCTATGCCCATTTTATAAATTAAAAGAATAGTATAAAATGTCAAAGATGCTGATCTATAAAGGAGGACTGTGGTTTAACATTTACACAAAAGTCCTCTATGGGGCCATGAGAATCGCTTCAGGTGTAGAATTAGGCATAAACTCCTCTTCTTTCTTTAAAAAATAATTGTTACTTTTGGATTTTGCTAGAGAAAAACCCATATAGTTTTAGGTATGTTTTTAGTCTTAAGAAAATTCATGGTCAGTAAAAGCCAAATACAGATAATTGGAAAAATGTTAGATAACTTAT